TACTTACAGTCTGTCCATAAGAAAACCCACATTTAATGTTTGAAGAAAGATAAAGAAGAGATCAAAGAGGCAGAACTTCTCATCTAGAGCAACAGTTTTCAAAGTGTGGTGCCTGGAGCAGCATCAGCATTACTTGGGAACATGTTAGAAACGTAGAATGTGAGACCCCTTGCCAGACCTAGGGAATCAGAAACCCTGAGAGTGGGGCCCAACAATCTGTTTTAACAAGCCCTCGAGGTGCTCCCGATGCCCTGAATCATGGGATCCACAGAGCCAGAGGCAACATGACAGCACAGAGTGAGCACTGGATCAGGAGCCGATTCTAGGCTTAACTCTGGTATTGACCTTGCACAAGTCTCTCAACCTCTCAACTTCCTTATAAGCAATACAGGGACAACAGCACTCAAATAATTTTTTTTTTTTTTTTGTGAGGAAGATCAGCCCTGAGCTAACATCCATGCCAATCCTCCTCTTTTTTTGCTGAGGAAGACTGGCCCTGGGCTAATCTTCCTCCGTACCCATCTTCCTTCACTTTATATGGGACGCCGCACAGCATGGCCTGACAAGCGGTGCATTGGTGCACGCCTGGGATCCGAACCCAGGCTGCCAGCAGCGGAGTGCGCACTTAACCGCTACACCACGGGGCCAGCCCCAATTTTTTTTTTAAGATTTTGTGTTTTTTGGTGAGGAAGATTAGCCCTGAGCTAACATCTGTGCCCATATTCCTCTGTTTTGTGTATGGGACACCACCACAGCATGGCTTGATAAGCAGTGCATAGGTCAGCGCCCAGGATCCGAACCTGCGAACCCTGGGCTGCCGAAGCAGAGCACACAAACTTAACCGCTACGCCACCGGGCTGGCCCTCAAATAATTAAATGTTGAGGGGATTAAGGGCCTGGTGGTTAAGCGCAGCATGGTCCACTTTGGCAGCCCGGGTTCAGTTCCCAGGCGGGGACCTACACCACTCGTCGGTGGCCATGCTGTGCCAGTGACCCACACACAAAATAGAGGAAGATTGGCAACAGATGTTAGCTCAGGGCGAATCTTCCTCAGTAAAAAAAAAAGCGATCCCATGTACAGAGTGGGGCTTAATAATTATAAGTTCCTTTCGGTTCTCTTCCTGTGTATCTCACAGGGTTGTAAAGACTAAATAAAAAGATTGAAGCAAAAGGGCTTTGTGAATTGCCAACTGCCATAGCAATCTGAGGGACGACTAATCAGCCTTGGTACAAACAGCCACACTAGAGTCAAACACTAGCATTCACAGGGCACTAGGAAGCAGTTTACGTCCAACACCATCCAATCTGCAAACACAAACCCACAACAGAATATCTGCTGCTTACACGTTTATTAAAGCAGAACCACGAAGAGAATAAATGATCTTCCCTGCCCACCCCTGATATTCTGTTCAGAGTTAACTAGCTACTCTCTGATCCTTTAACCTAAATGAACCCAAACTTGACTCTTGGAAAAGGATTATCTGAAAGTGTTTTCCAGCCACCACAAGGAAAACCGCAGACACCTGCAGAGCACCATGGCCCTGACTCAGGGAACTTCTGACGTGTGAATCCAACGCCAGCGGTCATCCAAATCCCAGCGGTCGTGCAGGGCTGAGACAAGACAGTAACGTTCTGAAACTTGTTTCAGGAGAGAAAAATCAAGAAATAAAAGTAAGTGCTTTTTCTTTCTCCACACTCCTTAGGCTCGTACACCACTGCGGCTCTGTCCGGAACCACACATCCTACTCAGGAGCCACCTTCCGGGGCAGGGCTGACGTGAGAATCGCACAGATGACCAAGTCAGACTGTGGGCTTAGCTGCTAGCTCAAGAGGGCAGACTCTGTCTTTGACCAAACAGCACCAAGTCAGAATGTGCCTGTGAGGCCCAGGCAGGAGACAAAGTAACAATTACTCTACTGACCCTCAGACTAGGAGCCTACTGCTTTGCAGCTCCAGGACACCTTTGGTGACGTCATACCTCTGCTGAAGGCTCCCTGACAGCAACTCTTTAATATCTGTATGCCAGAGCCTGGCACTCCACAGGCACTCAAAACGCCTCCTGAATTGGACTGATGGAATTATTTAGGTCCAAGCCCTGTGCAGCTGTTGAGAGGTATTCTTTTATGAGGAAAATAAGGTTCAGGGAGACTAAAAGCTGAAGTCAGCTAAAGAATCTCGTCTTTGATGTCACCCAGCCAGAACAGGGCTTCATCCTGGGCCAAAAGCGTACCTGCCACTGTTGCCCACAGCCACCTCTGTTCCCCTCAGACTGGCGCTCACAGACGTGCCCACACCCTTCCTGCCTCATTTACCTGTACCCAGGCATAGATGTCTCCTTCTCTAACTGGAGAAGTCACACCCATCCTCATGAACAGCCCTTGGACTCAAGGAAGCCAATCCCACCACCCCGGCTCTTCTGAATTCCTTTGGACTCCAAACAGCACTGACAATCCCCACCACTCGACTGAGCACTGAGCTACGGAGTGGCCTTCCGTTAGTCGTCATTGTTCCATACACCTCTCTTCTCTCCCCTGACACCAGAAAGCCCTTGAGAACCGGGACAGCTGTGAAATCCCAGCTCTCCCTCTTACCAGCTGAGCCATCCCTTCACTCCTTGAGCCTCAGATTCCTCATCTCTAAAGTGAGGAGGACAATAAAACCCACTTCACAGAGCAGCTGTAAGGAGCAAACAATGGCTGTAGAATTGCTGTGTGTAAGCTATCACTGCTGCATTTCATCATTAGCTCTGCGGTTGTTTTATTTCTGTATGCCCCTCCCTCCCATCAACCACCAGCACATACTTTTAAAAGAATACTAACAATACTACATGTCAAGAAAGCCACTTTTACACTTTGTCACAACAGTACAGAATAGACATTAGTACCTCATTCTGTCCTCTAATCATTGATCAGAACTGAACTGACTGTGAAATGACCTAGGCCTTGCCTGCTGACTAACTGGCAATGAGGAGGCTTCATTCTCTTTGCGGTCCAGTGTCTGTTATAAGGGATGGTGGATGCTGGGGCCTGGAAGGGTATTTTCCTTCACAGGTCACAGACAGGCCAGCTGTCCCTCATATCCTCTCCAGGGAGAAAATCCAGCCCTAACTTCATGATTCTGTGTGAGCAGTGACAGCCCCAGTTCACTGAGCCTCAGCTGTGTTCCAGGCACTGTGGTAAGAGTTGACACGCATCATCTCACTTAAGCCGCACTACTCTGTGAGTACCTATCAACCTCTCTCTCTCTCTCAGCAAACTACGGCTCAGAAGGGTTACACAATCTTCTGGGGTCACACAGCCAACAAATGGACAAGGTAAGATTCAACTCAGGTCTTCCTGACAGAAGCATCATGCTCTTTCCATTCACTACATTCCCCTACATCCCTTATATTTGCATATTTTTAAATCCCCTTTAACTTCTACTCCTCATCAAATACCTTGGCATTTCAAAGGTGTAGAGCTTCCTATTGTAAAAGAGACAGAAAAGAAAAAAAAAAATCCCCCAAGCTTACTGGCTCCCTCCAAAAACTGGTTGGAATTCAACACCCAACTGAGAAATTAGTTTTTGGAGTATGGCTGCAGTGAACGAACACCTGAGGAAAGGAAATGAGGAAGAAAGGGGCGTGAGAACCTAGAGGAACACGGGAGGTAGTCCACAGAGATGGGAAAAGACTCTTCCCAAGCCCAGTGTCCACCATCCCTTACCAAAGACGTTTCACCACAGAGAAAAGAAACGCTCCCAAATGCCAGCTAGCCAACAGAAGAGACCTCAGTAATTTCACAGGCCCCACTCAAGGCTGAAACATAAGCTGGAAATTCATAAGTAAAGCAGAAAATAAACATGTCACTTCCGCCCAAACCAGCCAGGCCCATAAGGACACCAAAGCTCCCTGCTGATAAAAGACCTTTTACCAGCCCCTCCACAAACCAGGAGGAACTCAGTTTTAAAAGAAACTAATCAACGTTCTTGACTGAGCACTTGGCATAAGCTCCTACCTTGGGTGAAAAGGCAAGTTGCTTTTTCAGTAAGGAAATCCCATATGGTGGCCACACAGGTGTCCCTTCACTAGCCTTGGGCTTTCCTTACCCAGGATACTGGTCATCTCTGGTGCCCTCTTCCGGGGACCCAGAGCCCCCTATAGGATTAACAGGTACTGCCAAGTACCCCTCTCTCTGCACTGCCACCAAAAGATTTCATCTTTGGCAAATTTAATGTAGCAAGAAAGCAACAGTCAATGTGCAGAGGTTGCTACAAGGAATATCAAAACTTGAGCATTTGAAGGGACCTACCACATCTCACCTCCAAACAGGAAAAACGTGAAGCCAGAAAAGGCAAGGTCATAGGGAGGGTAACTGGCAAAGCCTCCACTGGAGCCCAGGCTTCCTGATTCCCAGTCCAGGGCTCTTATCATTGAATAGCACGGCCCCCCTTCTTCCCGGAGGCAGTGCAGGCATGCCAGCCCCCCTGCCAAGATCGTCACCCTCTAGGAACCCCTCCCCCTTCCCAGTCCCTCCTACGGCCTAGCCTAGCCGAGTTGCAGCTCTAATTAGCAAGTCTTAGAGCAGGGAGCGTTCTCTGGGAGGGTGCCCAGTCCGCGGGCTGCTGGTCTGAAAAGGAGGAGCAGGGATGCAGGGAGAGGCGTCTGGGAGAACCGGGTCCCGGCGGCAGTGGCAGCGAGACTGTCGGGCTGGACAAGGGCGCACGCAGTGGCATCTCCCAGGAGGCGCGGGGTAGGCCGACAGCGCGGGCACCACCTCCAGGAGCCGGGGGGAGCCGGGCCCCGAGGCGGAGGGCCGCGCGGAGCATCTCCAAGTCCCAGCTGGCCTCGGGGCGCCGCCTGGCAGGGTGGCACCGACGCCGTGAGCAGGCCCGGCCCGCCAGCGGGCAGGGGCCCGGCGACCAGGAGGTGGCCCCGGTGACCGCAGAGGCCCGTGGTCCTCTCCGGCCCTGTCAGCCGCCGCCGTCGCCCACCCAGACGCCTTCCCTTCGCGCGGCCTTACCGAGGCACTGCCCCACCGGGGTGCTGAACGGGTTGCCCAGGAGGAACTCCATCTTGAGCGGTCAGCACGGCAGCCGTCCAGAGCCCTGTTAGCCGGCCGGTCTCCGCTGTACCCCGCCGCGCTCCCGACCTGACTGACACTTGCCCCCGCCCCACCCTCTAGAGCGCCGAACGCGCGGCCCCTGACCCCGCCCCCTTGTCGCGTCCCTATTGGGCAACGCCTGCCCTGCCCTCCTCCGATTGGGCCCTACGGCTTCCCGAGCGAAGCCCCACCTACCCCGCGCTGTCCGATTGGGCGGAGGAGTGAGCTCAGTCACAGGAACCTCCGTCAGGCGTAGTGACACCGCCCCTGGCCCGCCTCCGAACGAGAGTTTGTGCGCTTTGATTCCTTTATATATTGGTCAAGCTAGGGAATCCTTATGATTATTGGAGAACAGACGAGTCAATCACTCAAGTAGGGGGCGGGGAAGAGGCGGGGCTAAGTATATCCCCGCCCGTAGAAAGTGCTGATTGGAGAAACATTTGTTTTCTCTCCGGCTGGTTGGTGGCAGGAGTATTCCCCCGCCCAGAAACGTGGTCACGTGCCCCCTCAACTTTCACTCAGGATGTTAATCTTCTCACTTCCGGTTAGCAACGGAGTGGTGGCGCTTGGTTTCCCTAGCAGCCGGGCAAAGTGGCTGCTGCGTGGACCAGCCCGGTAGCCCGCGCTTGAGAAGGTGAGATCCGAAGCTGAGGTTCCGGGAGGACTCGCAGGGGCAGACAGCGCCCCGACGTAATTCTCTGATCTTTTACTCCGAGAAGTGCGGCCGGCCCTTATCATCCGTAAAATGAGCACACAGATCCCCTGCCAGCCACTTTGCAGCGGCGCTGAGACAGTCTGAACGCTAGTACCCGGGCTTTCAGGCCTGCGGATGAGAAAAAAAGGCTAAGGAAGCATTTCCTTGGGGAGCAGGGCTCGAAGAGATGTTTAAGGGGTTCCATCTCCCAGCCTCCTGGCCTGATCCCTTTCGTAGAAACAAAGGTACCCGAAAGAAAGATCCACTGATAACTTCTTCAAGAATTTAACCCTCATATCCGAAACCCTCATATCCGACCTCTTAACTGTCGTTCAATTATTTCTCTTATTTTTATTCTTCATCTTGGTGCTGTATAAAGTGCTTTGGGTGGGAATATGGATACTCAAGTTCCATGTCTGTCTCTTGTCAGTAGTTCCTTGTATGACTGTGGACAATTTCCTTTCCCTCCCAGGTCTCAGTTTCCCCATCTGGGAAGTTAGGGCATTAGGACTCCCTTCTCTAATGGCGTCCGGAGCTGACAGGTAATTAAATGACACATGTGCACTTAGTACCCAGTAAGCACTCAGTAAATGGTTGATTTTCTTCTTATTAATTCATCGCCAATAGGGGCTATATTTTTCAGATCCAATTAATCCCAGGTTGTTGTTTCCCAGGACAATTCTGGATCTGTTTCTCCTGAGGAGGCTACTCCACTGACAGTGATGTAAAACTCTCCACTGCCTTCCCCGTCTCCAACCTCTGATCTTCAGTGACAACACTGTCCTCAGGCAAGTCAACAGGAACCCAGATTGGGTGGTAAATTACTGATAAAATCCTCTTAAGGGAAGAGGATTCGGGCCTTGGCCCTGACCCAGAACAGCTGTGAGAAACATTGTGACAATGTTAGAGCTGTGACAGTGACAGTCCACAGTACCCTGGGTACAGTTGAGTCATGGTGAAGAAATTGGGCTCTGGAGTCATGTTCTCCTGCCTCTGCCGTATACATGTGTAAACTTGTGCATGTTACTTAACCTTTCTAACTAGCTTCCATTTTCTTATCTGAAAACTGCAGATGATCAGTCCCGCATGTAAATTAAGTTCCTAGAGATCTCTCAAATCCACATCTTACCACCAACCACCCTGGGCATCTCTCACGTCACGACTCTTGCCATTCTCAGTACTACAGCCAGAGAGAGCTTCTTAAAATTAAAATCTGATCATGCCACTGCTCTTATTAAGGCCCAGGAGCTTCCCAGGGGTCCCAGGATAATAATTGAACTCCTGTCGGCCTTTTCAACCTTGCATTGCTTCAGCCAAAGTGGAACATGTCTTGTTCTCTCCCACCTCAGGGCCCTCACTGTGCGATTCCCTCTTTCTTCTTTCCACTCCTCCTTCAGATCTCAGCCCCATCTCCTCCGGCCAGGCCAGGTGCCCCTAATGTATGCTGTCAGAGTTCCCTACACCTACAAACTTGTCACGGTTTGTAATTAAACATTTCTTTGATTATCTGATTCGTGTCTGAAACAGAGGTAAGGAGATCTGTCTGTTTTATTCATAGTATGTAGTAGCTATTCATTATGTGTGTGGACTAAATAAATGATCTTAAACAAATGTAGGAAAGAGGAATTATTCATCTTTTACAGATGGGAAATCGAGGGCTTAGACAGGTGAAGTGAGTTGCCAAAGGATGCACAGTCAGGATCCAAATCCTGCCCTTGTGTGCATAACAGCTGTTCCATGTTGCATAGCCATTGTCAGGCTTGACTGAAGGCAAGCTTGATCTGTCACAGGTGCCAGGCCTTGATGACGTGGGAGGGATGAGAAGTCAAAGTTTTGGAATCAGAATTAAGAATCATTTCCCAAAGTGCAGCACCTTTCTTTGAAAAAACACAAACACTTTGCAGGTAACATCTGCCAAATGCAGCACAGTAAAATTTCCCCAAAGGCAAGCTATGGGAAATCTTGGAAAAATTTGTTTCAGAAGAGTAGGGAGATGGAGAGAGGCAGAGGACTGGAAGCATCTTCAGGAGGTGAATCAATCACCCTAAGGAGATAGAGCCAGTGTTGACAGATTGGAGAGAATGGGAAGATGGAAGGCACAAGTGGAAAAGGGGTGTGGGGGGAGGGAGGAGGGTGTAGGTAGGGGGTAGGAGAGGCTGTGCCTCCTCTGGGGACAGAAAGAAAGGACACATAAGAGTTAAAGGCACTAGGACATTTGATTGTGGACAGTCCAGAAATGAAAGATGCATATGTGCATAAGCTGCATCCAAGTGGATGGTGGGGGAGGAGGGAGGGAGGGCAGCCAGGCAGTGGCAGTCTCTAAGACCAGGTGGCAGGATTGCCAGGCCCACCTGGGTTTGTGGTGGACACCATCAGTCCCCCGCCAGGAGTCTCTCCAACAGTGCTCAGTAGAATAAAGAGCAGAACACAGGGGCTGCCCAGCATCAGGGACCAGAAGGCAGGAGGTTCAGGGAGGCCAGGATATTGGGGATGCACCTGGACAAAGATAGAAGGTGAAGCCGGCAGGGAAGTGAGAAGCGGAGGTGGAAAGCAGAAGGGAGGACCTAGTTTCCACAGGGTGTAGGAGGCAGAATCTGGAAGTTTCCAGTAGATTGATAGGAGAAGGTGCCTTCCTGCAGCATCCAGCCCTTCTGGATGTTCTCACTAAGAGGGTTGGTGATGAGAATGATCTCAGGCACCCCAGCTTCCCAGGGCTGTGGCTTTGTCCAGCCAGGAATAGCAGCCCAGTGTCAGCCTCACAGTGTGAGTGAACAAGTCCACAGATTTCCCCTTTGCCTGTGGTATTTCAGCCAAATCCCTTTGGACCGTTAGCAACAGAAACCTACTGGAGTTAGTTTAAGTAAAAGAAGATTTAATGCGAGAAGTCAGGACACTCTCACAGGAGAGGAAAAAGCCCTCACAGGTCCTGGAATTAGGGACATTAGGGGCCAGAAAGCTAGCAAGGAGAAGGCAGTCTCTATGTCAGTCTGTCTGTCTTTTTGTCTTTTTTTTTTACTGGATCCCATCTCTGCTTCTCTCTGTCTGTCTGCCTCATCCCTCTCTTGCTCTCTCTGCTTAACCACGTGCCTGGCCAGTCCACGGTCCCCCAGTTCCTCCCCAGCTCAAGCAGCCAGCTCTGATGGGCACTCATCCTCTGGCCCCAAGCTCACATTTCTCAGGGGGAGGACATGAATGGCCGGCCTGGGTCAGTATCCACCTACGCACTGGGCAGCTTGTGGTATGTGTGTGTGGGGAGTACAGATATGACTGCCTGGAAGGGATGAGGCTCTCAAAGAAGGGGCATTGCAGGCTGGTATGCCTGGCTGGGGCTGCCAAGGGTCATGATCAGTGGTTGGTGCCAAGAAACCCAAACAAGGATGGGCACAGAAAGCCAAAGGCCTGAGATGGCCCTGGCTGTAAGGGAGCTGAGCTCCAGAGGCTCAGGAAACCGGTGTGGACACCGGTCCACTTCTCTGGGGTAGAGGCACAGCTGTGGTTGTGGGGCCAAGGGGTGCACCCCTGAGGATGGGCACCAGGCAGGATGGGTGCAGATGTTTGCCGGGGAAGCCCTGGAGCAGCCTTCGTGCAGATTTTTGAACCCCTAGGTCCAGTGGGCGAAGGCGTGGGAGGAGGGTGGCTTTCAGAGTGTCTTTGGCCACCACGATGCTCCACAACCTTACAAGGACCTCAGCCAGAACTGGTCCTCCAACAAAGGGAGAAGCGGAGTGTGGGAGAGGAACGTGGTGTTTTTCAGGGAAGATGAACCGGCTGTGCGACTCGATGGAGCCGAGAGTGATGGATGACGACATGCTTAAGCTGGCTGTGGGGGAGCAGGGCCCACAGGATGAGGCTGGGCAGCTGGCCAAGCAGGAAGGTATCCTCTTCAAGGATGTCCTGTCCCTGCAGCTGGACTTCCAGAGTGCGTATCCCAGGGTGGGGTGGGTGCACCAAGCAGGGCCCCGGCTTTCTCTGCTCTACCGCCTACAGAGCCCCAGAATTCCACACAATGTCCATATAAAAAGATAAAATTCTCCCACTCCAAGTCTAAGTGAACCACAAAGGTCACTCTGTTTCCACCTCAGACTCCACACGGATGTCCTTAGAGCGCGCCCCTCGGCAGGCGGAACTCAGGAGGGGTCCCAAGCAGCCAGGCAGGAGCAGTGGGGAGGAGGAGGATGTCTACTGGGAGAGCAGCTTCCGAGGAGGGGCGGGAGCCAGGAGGGGCCCAGGGCCATGCGGCAGGGAGGTGCCTCAGAAGTGGCAGTACAGCTGAGTGGGAAGACGTGGCTGGGGCCCAGGCAGATCCTCAGTGCCCCAGCGTGCCTGTCTGTGAAATGGGATGATTGTAGTCCCTGTCTCAAGCGCTGGTTGGGGGGACAGGGTGAGACAACATGTGCACAGAGTCTGGCTCACTCAAGAAGGCCAATGGGGGGTGTGAGAGGAAGCGAGAGAGGTGGGCAGGGGTCCTGCAACCCCTCATGTATTGTGCAGGCGGGCCACAGCAGAGTGACCTGGTCAGATTCACATTCCTGCTCTGTCCTGGGCTCCGACACTGGCCTGCCAGGTCATCTACTCAACAACAAGGAATTCTTGAGACCCTGCCTCAGCTGGCTTGTGCCAGACCCTGGGGATACAGCGGTGGGTGAGGTAGGCATGGCTCTGGCCCCAGCCTGCTGAAGCCCAGAGGCCTTCCCAGAGCCCAGCACCCAGAGCAGCAAGACCCCAGAGCCCCAGCCCCCACAGTGGTGAAAGGGTTAAAGGGGTTGCAGAATGGCTGCACCAGAGGGGCCTTTGACTGCCTTCCTTTTGCTTCCCCCTCCCTCCCCTGAGGCCCCCTCAGCCAGTTTACCAACTGCCTGTGTTATGCCAGGTGCTGCTCCAGGCACGAGGATGCAGCTGTGAACAGAAAGGCAAAACCTGTCCTCATGGAGCTGCCATTCAAGTGAGGGACACAAACACAGTAAAGAGGGGATGATGGTGTATGCTAAAGGTGACATGTGCTATGGAGGAAAATAAAGCAAGGAGAGTTGGGAGTGAGTGCAGTGTTTTATCAGGGATCAGAGGCCTCACCAAGAAGGTGACAGTTGAGCAAAGACTAGAAGGAAGTGAGGGAAGGAGCCACATGGAGATCCAGGGAAAGCGTTTAAGGCAGAGGAAATTGCCAGGGCAAAGGCCCTGAGGCAGGCAGACATGTGTGGAGACAGGTCAGAGAGGTTATGGGGTCAGCTCATATCAGCCTTGCGGGCTACGAGAAGGTGTTTGGCTTTTGTAGTGAGAGAAGTGGGAGCCATGGGAGGGTTCTGAGCAGAGGAGGGACTTAGGTTTTCACAGGATCCTGCTGGCTGCGGGAGGCTAGACTGTGGGGGCCAGAGGCTGGAGCAGGGAGTCTAGTGACAGCCACTGCTATGGTCCAGGGAGTGAGGACGATGGGCTGGGACCAAGACGGTGGCGGTAGAGGCTGATTCCATGTCTATGTTGAAGATTAAACTGGCTTTTTGGGCAGTCCTGTCATGCCGCTGACTCATTGAGAGCTAGCTGTCAAATATATCCTGGTTTAGTTGTGTTGTTTTGGCTTTTCCACGTGAACAGCTGATGCCTAGGGAAAAGCCAGCACACAGGGATGCCAGGCAGCACCCAGGAGTGTGGGAGCCATCCCGGGAACTGGTATCTGCAGGAAGTCAGCCACAGCCAGGGCTGTCAGCCTAAGGCCAGGGCCAGAGAAGGCGCCTGGAAAATCCAGACCAGGATAGGTGGCTGAGATCCTGGGCCAGAACTGGGCCCTGCCCGGAAGCACAGGTTGGGGTGGTGGCTGGTATCATTCTGGGAAATCTGCCACAGACAGGGAATTGGGGAACCTGGCCCTGGGAACCTGGGAGAGACAGGGCCCTGGGTCAGAAAAACACTGTCCACCCACCCCCATGGAGGCATGGAAGGGCGCCCTGCCTCCCCCAGGACCTTGCAAACCCTGCCCCTCTGAATGAATATTGAAACTGTTGCCCCGAACGTGTGGTTATTAAGGGCACTTTTTTTTACCCATTTCACTTGTATATTATTTCAGTTCTTTTAATGAGCATATTCTAATTTTATAAGTTTTGGAAATCATTACAAAAACAAATATAGAAAAAGGAAGCATATAAACAAAGGGCTATTTGTGGCTTCTAGAAAAAACTGGGGGACAAGTTTAGGCCTCTAGAATTTTACATCCACAGTATATACGTATTTATACTTAAGTGTCCTTCAGAACTCTGGCTGCTAGTGACAGAAACCAACCACTGCCTGGTGGAAGGAGCAAAGGGAATAAGTTGGCCATGTGACTGAGAAGGTGGTTTTCAGGGACCACAGGGTCAGTTGCTTCAGTGATGTCAGGAGCCCACCTCTCTATCTATGGGTGATTTATCCCACCCCCCATATATATACATTTGGGATTCCCGCTATCTTTCTGCCCCTCGTGTGCCTGTGGGTATTTCTTTGGGCGTACACACAGTGTATCTTTGCTGACAGATTCCAAGTAGAGAAATTGCAGGGTCAAAGGGCACAGACATTAAATATTTCAGTAAACGTGGCCAAATTGTCCTCCAAAAAGCCTGAGCTAGTTGCTGACCCTCCCACCAGCAGGCGCAAGGGTGCACTCACCTGCAGCCTTGATTCTATCTGTGACATGGCAGCAGGAGGAAGGAAGGCCCCTGCCCGTGTCCCATGTTCTGTGTCCTTTACCCCGAGGTGTCGCAGCCTCCTGGGCAGCCCCCAGCCTAGCCCCAGAGGCAGTGCGAGAGAGTCCCCGGCCCTGGGCAGGTCCAGCCCGCCTGCATCCCTGATATCCCCCCATGGACCTATTAGGTCCTGCTGGGGTTCTGGCAGCGGCACTGATAGGGACTCGGAGCTTCAGGAGGCTCGGCCCACATCTCCAGGGCACCCGCATACTCCAGGACAAGGCAGTGGAGTTGTAGGGCCTTTTTTTTTTTTTTTTTAAAGATTTTATTTATTCAGTTCTTCCCCCCAAAGCCCCAGTAGATAGTTGTACGTCATAGGTTCACATCCTTCTAGTTGCTGTACGTGGGACTCGGCCTCGC